CTGCATATTTGATTTTTTTATTTATATGAGATATAAAATGTTATTATTTCAGTTTTATCCTTATTACTATTTTGGGTATAATGATTGAAATTCAACAAGTAGCACGTAGTACACAGGTAATAGCCAATATTGATTTAAATAATTGTTTGGTTATATAATAATTAGTTAATTATATTTTACATCAAATAACAAATAAAAATAAATTCAAAAAGTAGTTAATTGTACTTTTTTCTTAACACTAAAAAATTTATTATTATTGTTATTATGATTATGCAATTACAATTTACAAATGAAACATCTCTTTTTTACCTTTTCACTAAGGAAATTAAATTTTTGTTTTAAATATTAAGGAAAAAATTAAAAACTTTCTAAATTAATTAATTTATAATTATGAATTAGTAAATTTTTTATTAAATAAGAAAAATTAGTTATAAACATATTAAATAATGAAAAAAAAAAAGAGAGGAAATGAACAAGTTAATGTTAAAATTGAATATATATATATATATATAAACTTAATGTAAAAATGGGGAGGAGAGAAGTTGGTCTTTAAGCCTGCATTTTATGCTTAATTATTTTAAATGTAAATTTACCATAATAATTTAAAATTTTAAATCCCTTAACAATTTGAAGCAAAAAAATTAATTTAAGGAGTTTTTTTATAATCAACTAATAAATTAGGCTCTTATTGTTAATTGATATCATCAAATTACTAAATAAAAATTTTTATCAAACATTAAATACTTAACAATTGACAAAAAATCATATCCAAATATTATTATATAATAATTTAGATAAAACTATCAACTATTAATCTTAATCAGCTATATCAGATAACCATTTAATACTCAAATTTAAAACCTCAACATCAAGCTGTTAACTTCACGCGTTTGGTCAGAAGCAAATCGGTGATGTGAATGGAGTCAAGAACCACCGGAATTGCATTGGAAAAAGGACACTAAAACGATGCATGGTTTTTACTACTATTTAGGGATGACAATTTGTACCAAAGTTCTATAAGACAAAGATTTTAAGGAATATTCTTTTCATAAAAATTAACAATTTACATTTAAGTATTGGTAAATTTTAAAAAGTACTTATTTTAATAAATTATATTTTTCTTATAAATTTAAAATTTTATTAGAGAAAAATTTTAAGTTCACTTTTTAAATAAGTTTTAAGAAGATTTAAAAAAAATTACACATTTTAATTTTTTTGAAACTTATTTAAAACCCATTTTAAAAGCCAATTTTAAAATTTTTTTTAACTAAATTTTAAATTTGTGAAAAATGAATAATACTTTTAAACTAAATATTTTTCAAACTTTAACAAATACCTTCCCAGTTTAACTTAATTTATATTTTATTTTTAAGTCTACAAGCCTTTTATATAACCTTTATTACTTATTTCTTTTATTATTTTATTAACTAGTTAACTTTTTATTCTAAATTTATTTTATGCTTGAAATTTAGGTTCTGATGACAGTGTAAATTTCTTCAATCACGTTATCTATTTCAAATGATTATTTGCTTCTGTGATTGGCAAAAAATTTTCATCATTTTATTGAAGTTTGATAGGGATAAAGAATCTTGCGGCACCTTCATTCCCTGCGAGATGGGAAGAGGAGGTATTTGTCGCTCCTGTGAAAAATCTTTATGGAGATCCCATACAGATGGAAAGGGTCTCCAAACCATGCAAGTTCCGTTGCCATCTCTTCCACTGCTTCTCAATTCTCACCATCAATTTTTACCTTTTTTATGGAAAAGATGTTCCATTCATTGACTTAAAAATTCGAATACAAAGGAGAATTAAGCAGGGGACACAGGACCAACAACTGCCAAAACAAAACCCCTCTCACGATCCTTCCTACCGCATTTGCAATATTATAATTTATAAGCCATTACATTTTCCTCTCGATCCACCTGGGAAAAGTGAAAAGATTCCATGCCTCCACAGCACCATATCCGTGCATGCTGTCTGAGACTCTAAGCCCCACCTTGCCTCCCTAACAGCCTGCGCAGAGTTGGATTCAGCCATGATCCTTCTAAAACTCAAATCGAATGCAAGCCATACCCCATACAGCATAGCTAAGAACTCTCAGCTCTCAATCCCTCAACAGCCAAATTAAACTGTCCTCTTTGAGACCTGCTACCACTGTATTTTAGATCTCCAGCGGCATCCCTTCTTACAACCCCACACAGCAAAAGATTCCTATCAGCCCAAACAGCTAGCAGCCGAGTTTATCTTCACAAAGCCAGCCTTCATTTTGGTCCAATCCTTGCCTTCTCAT